AAAAAAAGTCTCTCCCCGTCTTTGCAATTAATTGACACGTTACACCTCTCATCTTGCTCTAGAGGCCGTTGGCTGGGAGCGCGGAGCTCCCCAAAACCCACAATTTCACATCTGCAAATACAGTCTTCATCCACTTTGACTCCCAAGACCCGCCCACACGTGGCCAACCTTTGCGTTTTTAATGTCTCTTTCCCCTTTTTTTCCACCTTCTCTTGCTCCTCTCTCGCCCCCTCCCGCCCTTTCTCTTTCCCTCCTACCTCTTTCTCCCCTTCCCCCCCTCCCCAGGTTCGTGAGTGGAGCCCAGCCTTATATGGACTGATCGCTCGGGCAATGGCCATTTTTCCTCGCCACCAGCGCCACCGCGCCGAGCGGCCGCTGGAGCCCGAGCTGACGGCGCCTTGGCACCTCTCCTGGAGTTACAAAACTAAGCGGGCGGGGGCGCTCGGCGCGCAGGCGCGCCAGTCCCTGGTCCATTTCCGTGTGCTTTCAGAAGAAGACAGAGGCTCTGGGTTGTGGGCTTTATTTTTTCCCTCCCTTTCCCCCCACTGTTTCTTTCTCTTTTTTAAAATAAAATTATCCCAATAATTAAAGCCCACCCTCCCTCCCCAATCCTTCCCCAGCCCCTCCCCCGCCCGGGGCTGGGGAGCGCCACGAATTTGTCAAGTGAAGCTACAACTTTGCGGCATAAATTGCGGGGTCCCGAACCATGTCGCTGACCAACAAAGACGGGTTTCCGTCAAGGACATCTTGGACCTGCCGACACCAACGATGAGGAGGGCTCGTGGCGAGGGGCGGGAGAGAGCGGGGCCCAGCCCGCCAAAGGTTGGCGCTGGGGCAGGCGCCCTGGACGCGGTGCAGAGCCCTGCCCTGAAGAGCCCGTTCTACGACAGCAGCGACAACCTACACGCGCTGGCTGGCCAGCACCGAGGGCCTGCTATTCCCGTAGAGTAACGAAACTTAGCCCCAGCGGCGGAGACTGTCTCCATTCCTGCAGCTTCAGCCCGGGCTGGACGCTAGGGGTTAAGTGGGAAGAAGCCATTTAAGCTCAGATCCTTCCCCCACGGTCTCTAGAAAGTATTTTTGAACACTTGTTTTAGATACCCTCTTTCCTCCCTGTCAAGCCCCCCCTAGGCCTAGGTCTCAGATATGTTTTTGTCAACATGAGAAATTAAAGGCAGAAGAGAGGAAATGACTCCCAAGGGCTGGCTTCAGATGTCAAGCCGACTGATGACTCGGCTGAAGACCCAGCCTCTGACCGCAGGGAGGGACTGACTGGGCCTGGCGCACAGAAGCCAGCTAGAGCCTGTCCAGGCTCCGGGTAAAGGGTGGGGGGAGACTTTGGGTATCCTGGGTAGCTCATCCTGCCCCTGTGCGTTCATAGAGGACGCTTTGTGCGGTGCGGGGGATGTTGAAGAAGCCCAAGAGCAAATAAACGAAAGTCCCCCAAAACTGCCTTAAATGGCCGAGTCCCATCAATGCTGGGATTGTAGGGGTTTTCTTTTTGAAAATCTGCCCACGTCTCTCCAGAAAGGAAACAGCTTAAGGGGCCAGACCCTTTAAACCCTCAATGATCGTCCCACAGCGCCACTCCCCACCAATTTGTACCCACACTGTACAACCCCTCGAAACGCAAGCCCTGAGCCCCGGACTCTTGCCGATTCTCTTTACCCTGGGAGGCCCCGACGGCTCCTCAAGCGTGGAGCAGTGCGGGGATCACCGCAAAGGGAGCGGGGCTGGGTGGCCAAGCGCTGAGGGCCTGAGGCCCACGGAGGATCCCCGTGCTCAGGGTCTGGCCCAAGGCGGCATCGGCCTCAGGCGCCTGTGGCCTGATGCGCTTCTCTCCACCTCCTCCTCTCCCAGTGCACGGACTGGCGGCCCGGCGCTACCGCCCTCAAGACTCCAGCTCCAAGTCCCCAGAGCCCTCCGCTGACGAGTCACCGGACAATGAAAGGAGACCCCGGCGGCGGGGGACGCAGGCAAGAAGAAGCGAAGCGGCGTGGTGCTCTTCTCCAAGCGCAGACCTACGAGCTGGAGCGGCGCTTCCGGCAGCACGGGTATCTGTCGCGCCGGAACACGCGAAAACCTTGGCCAGCCTCATCCGCCTCACGCCACGCAGTCAGATCTGTTCCAGAACCACCGCTACAAGATGAAGCGTGCCCGGCGGAGAAAGGTATGGAGTGACGCCCCTGCCCTCACCGCGCCGGGTGCCGTGCCCGTCTTGGTCAGGGACGGCAAACCGTGCCACGCGCTCAAAGCCCAGGAGCTTGCAGCCGCACTTCCACGGGCATCCCCTTTCGGTCCTACAGTGCGCAGTCCCTGCAGCACATGCAGTACAAACGCCAGTTACAGCTCGGCCAGCACCCCCAGTACCCGACAGCACACCCCCTGGTCAGGCCAGCAGTGGACTTTGGTGAGCGCCGCCCCTCCGAGACTCGCGACCCAAGCCAGCCCCACCCTGGCGGCGGCGGCGAGGAGAAATCTCCTTATGATGCTTATTATTATATATATAATTATTTATTATAGAGTCGAGTTGATTCTCGGCTCCGTTGGGGAGGCCCGGGAGTTGCCTGCGCCTCTTGGAGTGGCGGATTTCCTTCACCAGATCTGCCCCATCCTCTCCTTTGAACCTTTGGAGAGGGTTGAACTCTAAGCGTGTTTACAGAATGTTTGCGCAGCTTCGCTTCTTTGCCTCTCCCTGGGGGCTAAACCATCCAGCGTTAACGTCGTCACTTGAAAGAGAAAAAAGGCCAACTCCCCCACCCCCACACACACACACACTCCGCCCGCTTTCGTGAATTTTGTAAATATGTTATGTGTGTTGTAGCATATGTCAGCCGTCTTTTAAAGCAAGTGGAGAACACTTTAAAGATAAGAGGATTTCTTCTTTTTTATATAAGAAAGTGCTAAATATTTATGGCCATGTAAACGTTCTGACAACTGGTTGCAGATTTCGCTTTTCGTTGTAATATCGGTGGTGAGTGTTGCCGAAATGACTTCAGATGGGCCTGTTCCCTTCGGAGGCCAACTCCTTTTCTTTTGTGGTTGGTTTGGTTATGTTTGGTATCCCGTTTTTCTTTTTTTTTATTTTTGAATCAGTGCAAGCATTTTTCAAATATGGAAAAAGGAAAAAAAATGTTGTAGGCGAGAAGTCTTTAGCCCCATTTTCCGGGTCCTGACCCCCGGAACTTTGGAGCCCAGCTGTTCGCGCGGTTCCCTCAAGAGCGCCGGGCGCTGAAAGCTTTCAATTTTTTAAATAAGAATTTTAATAAAAACCCTGTGTTAAAAAACAAACAAACAAAACAAGTTCAGTCCTCCCGTTTGTCTACTTTGTCGCTCTGGCCTGGGGCGGAAGGCCTCAGGCAAGAAGCGGATCAGGCCGGCCTTACGCAGCACTCCCCTCCGGCCTGGGAGGCCAGGGATGCGGAGACAGTGGAGGACCTCCCAGGACAGGCCTCATCGGGACTGAAGGCCGGAGACTCCGCGCCTAGGACCAGGTCGAAGCGGCAGCTCTTGGTCCAGCCTTACAAACTGCTGGCCCAAAGTCTGGGGTGACCAGACTCGCTCTCTCGGGCCTCTCTCTAAGCTTCGCGCACTGCCTGGACCTGGGGCTGCATCCTCCTGGTCTTGAGAGGGAAAGTGACTTTGGGAAAGGCACAGGCAAGGAGAGCTAGCCCCCCTTCTCGCCCAAATGTACGAGTGGCTCCTTCAGCCTCCTTCAGCCTGAGAAGCTGTTGAAGCCACTACACTCGATGACTTTCACTTTGTTGTATTTTATTTAACTCGCGCTAAGGGCGGGGTGGGGCGGAGGCGCTGAGGTTGAGACCGGTTCGACTTTCTCTCTGCTCTCCACCCCTTCTCAAAATCTTAGAAGGTTGGATGCCTTAAGAGCAGGCTCCCAGGCCTGGGCGCGAAGGTGAAGGCACGGGAAAGTGGGTTTCAGGGCGCTCCTGATTTGGGCTATAAAGAGGGGCATTCTGGGTCCTGGGCGCAGAAGAGGGGGAGGAGAGTGCTGTATCCTTCTCCAAGCTTTTTGGTCATGGGGAGCAAGGGAGCCCTAATCCTTGACAATCTCAACCAACGAGCTTTCCACCTTCCTGTGCAATCCCCATCTTTACTAGGCTTCCAGCCCTTCTCGCTAGGAACTGGATCCCGCGCCTTCTCCCCCACCAGCGTTTTGCTGTGCAAGGTCCCCCCAGGCTAGTCCTCGGACGTGTGGCTGGGTGAATTGTTAGAAACTAGAGGTTGGAGGTGGGGTGGGGTGCTCTGGCCTCCAGGGCTGGAGGGGTGAGGAGAGGGAAGTGAGCAAACAACCCCCACCCCCAGCTCGCTCGCCCCATGAAGGTTTCATCCCTGCCTCCTCAGTACAGAACTGATTCCACCCCAACCTAGTAGCAGGGAGCAGATCTTTTAGGCTGATGCTGGCGCACACCTGGCCGCTCCAGGGAGCATCTGCGAGGGCCAGGCAGACTGGGGAGGGTGCACCTTTCTCCTGTATCTCGCGGATTTGGGAAAATACCCAAGGCTCAGTGGCTCAAAGCCCAGCGGGCGCTCTGGAGATTGAAAGTCAACCCATTTGGAACTTCTCTGCGGAGTTCCAGCATCAAGGCTGGGGAGGGGGAGGCGAAGAGGCCAGGCAAATGGAGCACTCCCAGTTGACTTTCTCGCTTCCTCCAGTTGATGATCAGATTTAATTCAATATCTAAAGCAAACATGATTATCCGTGTGACCAAATCTGCGCGTCAATAGCACTACAGAGCAACACGCCCAGGGACGTGATTACACTTTATTCCCGAGTTGTGAGGCGGTCCCTGGATAATTGAGGGAGCGGGAGTCTTTCTAAATAACCGCCTAAAGGTCCTTTCCCATCTCCAGGTTCAGCTGTTGGAAGGGAGCAGTTTTCCTAAATGCTGAAGTCTCCCTTTGTTCTCTGTACTAGCTTTGGGGTTTTGTCTTGATGTTTGTCAAAGCCAGAGAATTGCCTCTAAATCTTTTCTTATATAATATTATTGTATGTCCCACCTGCTCTGGTACCAACCACTCACCATCCCGGGAGCAACTTCCCTAACCCCCAGCCCTTTAAGAAGGGGTAGGTCTTCAGAGTCTCTTGGAGAGCGGTTGTTAGGAGGCCAGAGCCAGACGACTGGAGTTGGTTTCGAGGTTCCAGGCCCCAGGCCTTTCCGGGGACCCCAGAGCCTCCAGAGAAGAAGGGAGGGGTGCAGAATGGCCAAACTCTTGTTGGTTTCAACTGTGTGTGGTTGAAGGTGCATATGGGTCCATGGCCAGGCCCACAGGTCTACAGTCTGGGTGTGCACACTCAGGCGGGCGGGGAGCTGGGAGGTGGGCCCGGCGCCCGCCTCTCTGTCCTCGGGTCCCCATGGAGTCAATAAAAGCGCCTTCGGAGCCCTGTGTGGCCCTAACCCCAGCGCCCTGGGAGCGCACCCGGCACAGGGTCCGCTTTGGCAGTCTATCTTCGCCCAATCTACAGAAGGCTGCACAAAACGGCACAATGGGAAAGCTGGGAGCTGGAGATGTTAGAGGCGTGCATATTAAAAAGGGACAGAGAAAGGATCGTAGGGGACAGAAAGAGGGGAAGAGGGAGAAGAGGCCCGCCTTTCCCCACCCCACCCGGCACCATTCAGCGAGCTTATCGCAGGCAGTGAATCCCGGAGTCAGGCAGAAGTCTCCTTGGGGTTTTGTTGGGCCTGTCACTGGGTCCCTTTGTCATCTACGGACTCCATGCTGGATTCCATATGGCCAGCTGGGCCCAGGGAGCGCGAGGAGGGACCCGCACAAAACCCAAATTGTGTCCGGCTTTCAAACCCTGTATTGTTGTCTGTGAAAGGAAGACGCATTAAAAATTCGTGCTATATCTATTGGGGAGAGGATGGAGGAGGGGAAAAAAGCCACCCCTGTCTTTGATGGCTTCAGAGGGCGCTTGCCCTGCCTAGGCCCCATGACACATTGAGATCTGAGTCTCAGAGTCTGTCCCTTCTTCTCTCCTTCTCTCTCTCTTTCTCTCTCTCTCTCTCCCTCCCTCCTTCCAGGTTCTCTTCCCTCCCCTACCAAATGTTGGGCCAGGTCTGTGAGCTCTGTGCCTGCCTTCAAGGCTTGGAGTCCTGGCACTGCCCTTTGCTGGTCTCCTGTATTTTGGAGCAGAGAGCTAGCCTTCTGCCTGGTCGCACTGCCTGCCACTGGATGTTTCAGGGTGCTAAGGGCCCTGTTGATGTTCACCCTCTCCCCAAAGCTTCCTGGCTCCAGGATAGATGAAAATTCAGTCCCCTGATTCCCTTGTGGGATGCCATGTGGACAGAGC